GTATAAAGTAAGCAGAATATAAATTACATTGCTGAAATCCTTGCAAGACAGCGAATAATTTGAACATAGTAGACATCATATATTTTGCACAAGAGATATAAAAAAATCAACTCTTATTTTGGGGGAAATTTAGGGGATTTTTAGGAGTGTTTCTGAATTTATATGGTTTTTGGCTTCTTGTGAGGTCCCAGGAACATAACCCCACGTAAGTTGTGAGTCTACTGTAAATAAATTTACCACTACAGTCAGTTCTGTTACAACGCGATAGTTGTGTTCTTGTAAAACCTCGTGTTGTAGAAATTCGCGCAATAGAAATAACAGGGCTTATGGAGAAAATAGGGTTAGGTGCAGATTACTCGAAATCGAAAAAAATTTAGAAGTTTGCCTAACACAAAGGATAGCACAGTCTAAATAAATGTTACATTCATATCTAATAATGAAATCATACAGTAAATGGAACACTTTACCTTGAAAAAATATGAATATAACTTGATGGGGGAGATGGGTGATTTTGAGGTTGATAACATCAAGCTTCTCTTCAAGTGTTATTGCCTTTCTTTTACGATCACCACCGGGAATGCGATCACCAGAATGCTTCTTGGAGATACAGTTGTACCCCACTTAACGCGGTCAATTGAACCCAGAGGGTCCCGCGTTAAGTGAAATCCGCGTTAAGTGAACAACAGAACATATGGGATTAATTCCAATAGAAACCAGCCCGACCCCCAAACTCCACTTTTTGACGACACATAACTATGTTGTAGTAAAAATTCTATCTTAACTTTATGATGGTATGAAAAAACAAGTAATATAGAAGAGGTTAGGTTAGGAAAGATAAAGGTTAACATAGGAAAAATAAAGAATAGGTTAAAAAACGAAAAATTTTGTGGAACACTTACGGTAGTAGAAGAGATGGGTCGGCATACGGGGATGGAGGCTGGTTCCGAGGCAGAGGGCAGATTACTGGCCCTCAGGTGAATCACCATTACTAGGTGAATCAGCATCACTGTCACTTACAGTTGTCAGGGCTTCCCTGACAAATCCCTCAAAGTCAACTTCAATTTCACTATCACTGGCTTGGGCTGGCTGTGGTGGGTTGCGGGCGAAGAACTCGGTTATGCTTTGCTGACGGCTGGCTTTGATGTTGTCATGATACACCGTGATGTACGGCTCCATAGCCTGCACCAGTCGGGTATGGAAGACTTCATAGCGTTCATCGTCATTGTCGCGGGAAAGGACGGACTTAATTTTTTCTGCAAACTCTATGGCACACTTAATATCACTATGACTTAAACTAGGTTCTTCGGAGAATGACTCACCTTCTTCCTCCTCTTCACTGGCGTGTTCTTCTTCCAACATCTCGTCGGCAGTCACTTCAGGATGTTTGATCACCTCCAGGATGTCTTCGTTGGTGGTCTCGGAGAAGCCTTCAGCTGTAATATTGAGCGCAGCTTCTCTGGCAAGGTCCACTGCTACTGCAACAGTCTGAACCTGACCAGTCACAGGTTCACTCCTCCTCTCACCTGGTATGCCATGCAACACATGTCTCCATGCGTGACGAATCGTAGCAATAGTCAGCAGATCCCATGCCTCCACCAAGAAGTCTACAGCTTGTTTAACGTTAAACTTCTTCCAAAATTGTTTGACGAGAAGTTCTTGAGTCACCGCCTCTTGTTCCTTGTCCTCGTCGCTTTTGCTCTCGCTGTCGGTGTCACCCAGCTTACGCAACTCATCCTTGGTGTTGGTAGAGTCGTTCAGGAGCTTGAACTTCTTTGCAGAGTACGCAGCTTTCACATTGCAGATCAACTCCTGGTCCATGGGCTGGATTAATGACGTAGTGTTGGGAGGAAGGAAGACCACTTTTACGTTGGGGTGACGATCCATAAGTAGGGGCGAGTGTCCAGGTGCGTTGTCAAGGAGCAACAAAATATTGAATGGAACATTCTGTTGCTCGCAGAATTTCTTCACGTCGGGAACAAAACAGTTGTCAAACCAGAAGAGGGACAGAGAAGAGGACACCCACGCCTTACGTGCGGTTAGCCAGTGGACATTAAGCTTGTTCATGTCCATATTCTTGTAGGCATGCGGCTTGCGGGCTGTGTGAATCACCGATAACTTTGGTTTACAGGTACCGGAGGCATTGGTGGTAAACAGGACGGTGATACGTTCCTTCTGCAACTTCCGACCCCTTACCTTGCTGGCAGACTGGACAACGAAGGTCTTGGAAGGTAACTTTTTCCAGAAAAGACCAGATTCGTCCATGTTAAACACCTGGTCGTCAGTGTACTGTCCTTCCTCCATAATCTCACGTAAAAACGGAGGAAAATCTCTAGCCGCCACACGGTCAGCACTCGATTCCTCACCACCAATGTTGATGTTGGTGATCTTGTTCCTCTTCTTAAACCTATGCAGCCAACCAGAGGAAGCATTGAAGGGTTTGGGCTCTGCAATTCCCAGTTTACGTGACACTGCTGCGTATAGCTCACGTGCGTACTCCTGCACTGAGCGCGTGTCCACCGCCATGTTGCGTCGCGCCTGATGCACCAAATAACTCACCAGCAAATTTTCCACTTTTGCCAGCACCCTGTTCTGGCAATACCTGATAGATGAAGCACCTGCAGACTTTGTGATTTTCATGTGCTCTTTGATCTTGGCTGCATCCTTCTTGATCGTGCGAATCGTAGATTCGTTGACGCCATGCTGGCGCGCGAGATCAACTTGCCGTGTTCCTTTCTCCAAATCTTGAACAATTTGGTACTTCACCTCGTAGCTTAAGGAACGTCGTGTCTTCTTTGGCTTAGTGCTGCTGGGTCCAGGTAAGGAAAGGTCTCTCTCTGGGGGCGGTGGTGGTCCGGCGGAAGCCATTTTACGGAACAATGGATGCGCGTTTACACGGTGTGGCCTTGAGGGATCAAACTGCCGCAGCTAGGTCAAGCATCGTCTCTCCTCCCTCCCTCCCTCCCTCCCTCCCCGGGGTGGTCATGTCATAATACTTTAAGCCAATTACAGCTAGCAGCAGAGGGGGGTAGGGATGCATGGCCAATCACAGTCCGATACGTTATATGACGTCAGTGATAACGCAACAAAGACACACACTGCGCAACCTTACCGCGCGGCTTGCCCAAGCGGAGGGAGGAGGAGGGAGAGGCAGGCAGGCGGGCAGGCGGGTGGTGCGTGGCGCGTGGGCAAAATCTAAAAATAGCATCTCGAGCCGGACACTCACCGCGTATATGTGGAAAAAATCCGTGTTAAGTGAAAGTTCAGCTCTGGCAAGGCACCGCGTATATGCGAAAACGCGCTAAGTGAAACCGCGTTAGGCGGGGTAATACTGTATTCTTCTTTTCTATATTCACAGTTAATACCACAAAATTGGAGAAATAGTAAGCAAAAATCACTGAGGACGCTTCAAAACAACCCACGTGTTTCAACTGATTGTGTGATGTAAACAGAAAGCGCTGTTAGTCCGCACTGCGAAACATTATTTTTATTTATTTTTTTCATACAGTATTTATGGGAACAGCTAAATTTGCAAAAAAAGGATACAATTTATACAGTCCCTATCAAATAACACTTCACAAACAAAACACATGAACCAATTGAACATGTGATGTCGAACGTGAACTGTAAACACTGCATAACCCTGCGCCAAGCGACAGTACACTTAAAAATTTCGAGTGGAATTGCATTACAGCCAACACGCATTCACGTTTTCAAATATTGTTCTTCTATTCATCAATCGCGTTATAGCCAATTCGCGTTATCAAAACACTCGTTGTAGCAGAAATGACTGTATATATTGGAAAAATTTGATAATTTTGGTAGTAGTGATAAGTTTGAAATATATCCTGCACAATTTCCCTCGCGAAATAAAAAAAAATAATCACCATGCATATACAGTATACTGTATAGGAAAATGTTGATAATTTTAGTAGCCGCGAGATAAAATGATCGTTATATAAAGTCTCAATATATCCCGACCCTACTCTACTGTAATTTATTCGGTAATATATTTTTTTATTTACAATATATTGTACGTTTACCGTGGTGTTTGGATGAAGAAATGCAATTCTTTGTGAGATGCGTATTTTAGACTCAGAAACCTTCCCCATTACTCGGAAAAATTCCGGGATATGTGATTTTTTCATGGGATGAGAAAATTTGTCTCCATACCCAAAAATCTCTTCAATTTTGAAACCACCATGCACCAATTATTGGCTAACGGGTATATCACTGTACAGAATAGTACAAAGAGATGGAGATGAGGATGTATCGGGGAATCATCGAGCCGGTAGTATTATACAGTATGGGTATAAAACAAGGACTGGATGTTAGAGGAAGAAGCACATTAAAAGCACTAGATGTAACAAACTTGATAATAGTGTGAAGGGTTAGTAGGATGCAGAGAATGGGATATATAGAAATTTTACAAACCAGGGCATGACAGGAAGACATACATTAGCTTTTTGGATTACTCTACATGTATATCTATTCACATAGCTGGTCTTGGGAACCCTGAGCATCAGTCCATAGAATTACTGCTTGTACATAAATAGTCTGACCCAGGCATAAGTTAATGTCATGAGAGTTTAAGGACCACATGAAGAATAGCCACCCCAGCTTATTTCACCTTAGCCACTTGTGTGTGGGGTCACCTCTGTGCTGAATAAAATCATCTGCCCTTAGCCAAATAAAATATTAAAAGTGGCATCCCTGTAGTGAAGGGTTTAATGCTAACCTAACCTAACCTACTCTAATATAATTAAATTTAATCTACCTAACTTAACCTAACCATACCTAATCCCCTCCACGTAGTATTAAGGTATTTAATCATCAGGTTCAAGAAGCTGGCTGGGCCAAATCTTCATGTGATCCCATTTTAGGTTTGATTCATCATTTTTCTTCCAGATTTGAAAGAGTTATGGCATTTCTTGTGTGTTGACCATGGGCTCTGGATCCTTGTAGCCAACATGTTTTGTAATTTTTGTTTTCTTTTTCTGCAGCTGTACAAGAAGATAGACAACTACGAGGTCAGCTGGGGACTTGGCTTAGCTTTCCATGTGATAAATAATGGTATATGAGGTGAACTGTTTTTAGACCAAGTGTTCTCACTTGACTTATAAACTCTAAAAAAAAAAAAATTTACAATCTGTAGCAATGTCTGTCTGTTTGTAATCTATCTACACGTATCTGTTTTTTAACTTGTCCATCTACCTATCTCTCTGTATATGTATCTACTTACCAATTTCTTGTGAATTTTTATCCATTTATCCTTGACTCGTATTGAGTGGAACAATATTTCCAAGACTTCAACACTGCTGGAATACCTAATGAGTACAGTAGGTACAATAAAAGACAAAAGTCGTGTCATGAAATTTGGTGAAAACATGTGCTGAAGGGCTAAGCTTTTGGTGCACTCTGCCTTGTGGTAAGGGGCTCTCATAATGTTTCACGAGTTATATTTAATCTTCGGACAAAACCGAGCATGACTTTTGTCTTTGATTGTACAATCCATATGTGACATTACATGTTAAGTGTAATGCATCTGTTGAGCTACATTCATTTTATGTTCTTTTAATTGTACTATTAAGCCATTGTTTATGTATACTGATCAATTGTTGTTTTAAGTGATCAGAGTTTGCAATAAATGCCTTTGTGAGTATGTTTATGCAGAGAAAACACAATCAACTGTATAAATATACTGAATGTATAAATAGATAATCATACTGAAAATGTAATGAGCCTGTTTTTGAAATGCTGGACTCATTAAAGTGTTGTTTATATCATGTGGTTAAGATATTTGGGGGGCATAGTTGGGTCATATTTTACTGCATAATATAGTTGTGTATTACAGGTGAGAGCTTTGTAATATTGTACAGCTTAAGACAGTGCAGTAAAGGTGTAGCTGTACTTTAAAAAAAAAAAAAAAAAAAAAAAAAAAAAAGCCAGAGGGTGACTTACAGGTAATAGACCACCAATGCAATGTAGGTAATGTCTTATAAACTTAGAGCTGGAGTACCCATAGTATGTTCAGGTGGGTTTAGAACAACACATATACATATACTGTATAAGTATATCTATAGTATTAAAACATTAGAGAAAAGAATGATGACCAGTAAATGACGGATGTTTAAAATTTAAAGGTAGAGTAAATTAAACAGTAATTGATGTAAATTTTTACAATCAGCATGCCCCGACAAATTCGCAGATTTTTAATTCGCGGGCCTCTATTATTCGCGGATGACACCCTGGATGTTCCCAAGAATGTCTAAGGGTAGTTTTAAAGTTGCACTTTTGCAGCAGGGACAGGGAGCCATTTGTTCTAGAGACAGTAATTTCTTTTACCTGTACAGCTACTCCTCTACTTGTGTGTTAGTGATTGAACTGTGTACTGACAAAATTTTCGTTTGTAATTCCCTTTAAAATGGCTGTCAAGCTTAAAAGTGAGAGTTTTGTGGTGCTGAGAAGAAAAAGAGACACCCATTTTAGATTTTCTATGTATTATCTTCGCATTTTCGACTTACGACCAATTCAACTTACGACCTGGATTTGGGTCCCTAACCCCGTCGTAAGTCAAGGAGTGGCTGTATTGTAAATATGTGTCTGTTGACACAAATACACAAAACACATACAAATAAATAATAATGGGAAAATTCTCTCACAAATAATCAGAAACAAGACAACAAAATGTATAAAAAATGTTAGAGTCTACCCTCAAGTCAATCTCTGTGCTTTGTTATTAAAGCACGAAGTTGACTTGCAGGTAGAACCACATTTTTTATACATTTTGTTGTCTTGTTTTTTTATTATTTGTGGGAGAATTTTCCCATTACAGTACAGTATTATTTATATGTACGTATGTTGTGTGTGTGTGTCTACACACAGACACACACATATGTACAATACAGGTAAAAGAAATAATTGTACAAAGGGTAAACACATAAAGGGAAAGTACATTTCTTTGCACACGAGTAAAAATGTAGCCCCCTACCCCCTTAGCCAGCAAATGTTATTTGCAGATATGGCTATTTGCGGCCATTTTGAGAACCCAACCCTCGTGAATTTTAAGGGCATGTTGTAATGGGAAATTTTTGTGATAAATGAAGGAATGATAATGAAGCATTTGTTACAAGTACATAATTTCTCCAAGAAGAAGTTACTGTGGGCTTAATGTAATGTGATTGTTCTCCTCTCCTGATTTACAGTCAGTTCTGCTATCACGCGATAGTTGTGTTCTTGTAAAACATCGTGTTATAGAAATTCGCATAAGAAAAAATAACAGGGCTTATGGAGATAATAGGGTTAGGTGCAGATTACTCGAAATCGAAAAAAATTTCGTAGTTAGCCTCACACAAAGGATAGCACAGTCTAAATAAATGTTACATTCATATCTAATAATGAAATCAAACAGTAAATGTTACACTTTACCTTGAAAAAATATGAATATAACTTGATGGGGGGAGAAGGTTGATGTTGAGGAGTCATGCAGACAGGATTTGACATTTGTTATAGTCATCATCAGTATCATCATCATCAGGTGCAGTTTTTCTTTAGGTCCTCATATATTGATAAGGCTTTCTCTTTAATGGTGAGGAAGCTGGTCCCAGATTGCTTTTTCGTTTGATCTTCTATCCAAACACTTAGAAGCCATTTCATCTCCTCAAGTTCCTTTGGCTGTGATCTCACACTTTTGCTAGCACTCAAGGTTTTTCCAGCAATACAGCTTGCTTTAATCTTTGCTGCATTGTCTCTAATGGTGCGTAAAATAGATTCTTTTATTCCCGTTGGACGCACAACATCACATGTTCTTTCCTTATTTTCAAAACGATTGACAACATCAAGCTTTTCTTCAATTGTTATAGCCTTTCTTTTAAGATCACCACCGGAAATGCGATCACCAGAACACTTCCCGGAGATATTCTTCTTTTCCAAAGTCACAAAATTGGAGAAACAGTAATCAGAAATCACTGAGGACACTTAAAAACTTCACACGTGTTTCAGATTGATCGTGTGGTGTAAACAGAGCGCGCAGGTCTAAAACGCGACGTATTTTGTTTTTCTTTCTTATTTAAAATTTTACAATTTACATATACTGTACAGGTATTTCTTCACAAACAAAACACATAAATCAATTGAACAAGTGATGTCGAACGTGAACTGTAAACACTGCATAACCCCGCGCCAAGCGACAACACTGTACAGTACACTTTAAACACTACGTATTTTGTTTTTCTCTCTTATTTAAAATTTTACAATTTACATATACTGTACAGGTATACTGTATACATAAATATTACATAAATTATTTCTGAAATTCTTCACAAAAAAAAAACATAAATCAATTGAACATGTGATGTCGAACGTGAACTGTAAACATTGCACAACCCTGTGCCAAGCCACAACACTGTACAGTACACTTTAAATGCTACGTATTTAGTTTTTCTCTTTTATTTAAATTTTTACAATTTATATATATATATATATATAATTATATATATATATATATATATATATATATATATATATATATATATATATATATATATATATATATATATATATATATATATATATATATATATATATATATACACACACACACACACATATATACACAGTCGGCCCTTCACATACGCGGGTTTAGCATTCACGGATTCGCAAATACGCGGATTGCCCCGCCAGAGGAATATTCTGTACATTAAAGTAATTGAAGTACATTCAAATCGCGCGCCATTCAACTCGCGCGCGGCACCGAACACGGGACACCGCCCGCTCCCGCAACCTCACACACACACACACACACACGCATAGCTCTCCCTCACTCAGTCAGTCTCGCTGTAACCACACTTGTGTTGACATCAGCATTGTAGTTGCAAAAATATTACATTTCCGTGAATGTATTATATCAAGCACAGTATGAATAGAATATCACTAATATAAGAGTATTTTAACCGAAAACTACTAAAAAAACGAGTAACATATCTTGAACATCGGAAGGTTAGTAAAGTCTCTTGTTTTCGTCATGTATTTTATCCTAATTTACATTGAAATACATCATGTTTCAGCAAAAGTACTATTTATTTCTGAGAATATGGAAATGTAATATTTTGCTGAAATGACGTACGTATTACAGTGGAAAGTGACGAAAGCAATGACTCGCTTTCTTTCGCTCAAAAGATGTTACCGTAATCGCCTTTCGAATGGTTTTCAGTTAAAAAACTGTTGTATTACAATAATATTCTATCCTAATTCACTTGTGATGCAACAGTTTTTTAACTGAAAACCATTCGAAAAGCGATTACGGTAACATTTTTGAATGAAAGAAAGCGAAAGTCATTGTTTTCGTCACGATTTTGTCCCACATTCCACTGTAATACTTACGTCATTTCAGCAAAAATATTTCATTTCTGTGAATGTAGTATATCAAGCACAGTATGAATATAATATCATTGTAATGTAACAGTATTTTAACCGAAAACTATTAAAAAAACTAGTAACATCTCCTGAACATTGGAAGGTTAGGTGAAGTCTTTTGTTTTCGTCATGTATTTTATCCTATTTTACATTGAAATACATCATGTTTCAGCAAAATTACTATTTATTTCCAAGAATATATTCATTCAGGCGCAGTTTAGGTAAAATATACGTGTGATGTAACATTTTTTTAATTGAAAACGATTCGAAAAACACGTACCCTCTAGCCCTGTTCAAGGAGAGGACTGGGAGAAGCTGTTTGGTGCTTAAGACGATGACAAGGAAAATGATTTGGATGGATTTTAATGAAAATATTCAGAAATATGGTATCGTAGTATTTATTCAAGTCAATTAAGATAGAATATTATTGTAATACAACAGTAGTGACGATGTGGAGGAGGCGGAGGGATAGAGCGGGGAGGAGGTGACTGGCGGGAGCAGGGACGAGTGGAGATGCCAGCCAGTACATTACGGGTGTATTAATTGTTTTTATAGCTATTTTTGCATTTTAATGTTAAATACTGTACATTACATTTCAACAAAACTACCATTTATTTCTGAGAACATGGAAATGTAATATTTTTGCTGAAATGATGTACGTAATACAGTGGAAAGTGACGAAAGCAATGACTTTCGCTTTCTTTCGTTCAAAAGATGTTACCGTAATCGCTTTTCGAATGGTTTTCAGTTGTGGGATTATAAGGCTAATGATAGGATAGAATATTATTGTAATACAGTACGAGTACAACAGTTTTTTAACTGAAAACCATTCGAAAAGCGATTACGGTAAAATATTTTGAACAACGAAAGAAAGCGAAAGTCTTTCGTCATGATTTTATCCCACTTCCACTATAATATGTATGTCATTCCAGCAAAAATATTACATTTCCATATTTATTTCCGAGAATATATTCATTCAGTCACAGTTAAGGTAAAATATACTTGTGATGTAATATTTTAATGAAAATCCAGTATCGTAGTTTTCTCTTGTTTCAAATTTAATTAACAAAGATTGATGTTTCAAATGTAATGAACAAAAATTTATGTCCAGTATCTATAAATTAACTTTAATAAATGAATACTTTGTTTTACATCGTCCTGTGCTACCATACCATGGATTTGGCTACTTTGGGCTCGCAAGAGATCTGCCCTGGCAACTGTACCGACACTCACAGCTGGTGGTGTGTTGGTGCATCGTTTCCATTGTTTACTGGTAGTTACTGGTAAATATTTTTCAACCTAACGAAACTATTACCCGTTTAGAGGTCGACCCCCAATTTTTGCCAAATAATTTGGTCTTAAAAACTCGAACTACACACAGGTATATACGGTAAATAAGGACATGGGGGGGCCAGGGATTTTTTAGGGGGGCAGCAATAGTACACGGATTTTTAACATTCACGGGTATCTCTGTTACCTAACCCCCGCGAATGTTAAGGGCCGACTTGTGTGTGTGTGTGTATATATATATATATATATATATATATATATATATATATATATATATATATATATATATATATATATATATATATATATATATATATATATATATATATATATATATATATATATATATATCCGTTCTCTATCCACTTCAGGATGTCTTAGCCCTCCGTTTTCTTTTTGCGTACTCGCTCAGGGACTCGAGTATTTCTGTATATAACACAGGATGATAAGGGAATTTGAAATCATGAGTGAATGAATTTATTAAACAGTGATCAATTAAAATAGTTTTGATGTGTTTAAGTGGTATTCAGGCGCCTTCAGCCTAGTAATGTTACGACATTCGTATCACTCACTCTAAACCACGAATTCCATTCATACAGAGAGAGAGAAAGAGAGAGAGGCCAAGCGCTCTGTTTACATCACACACACATAAATATTACATAAATTATTTCTGCAATTCTTCACAAACAAAACGCATAAATCAATTGAACATGTGATGTCGAACGTGAACTGTAAACACTGTGTGTGATGTAAAGAGAGCGCGGGTGTAAAACACTACGTAATTCGATTTTCT